GTTAAGAAAAAAAATGAAAAATAATAAATCAAAATCAAAGTCCTGCAAATCGAGAGGGTCAAGAAAGTTCTCGTGAGGCGGCTTAGCAAGGTGAACAAATCTCGCCATTCTATTATTTTTCTCGTTTTTTAGAGCCTTTTTAAACCTGTCAAGTGTGTGCATGGTGATGATTTGATAGAGCTGTTCGGAAACTATCACGCAAGAGTAGTATTTACATTGAATTTGCTTTGTTAATGGGTCTTTATAAGGAAATGTGGGTGAGCATCGTGTTTCAAACAGTGGCGTCATTTGCTTTCTGCACTCGTGTTGTGGTTTTCTTTTGAGTTTCATAATTTGTAATATTTAAAAGGTAATTGTGTGTTTCAGGTTAGTGGAGAGAGATAGGGTTGTGAAAGGTCTGTGTTGTGTATAAAAGCTTAGAGCAGTAACATGCGCACCAAAAGTAGTAGAGAATGTTAGTGTTTGCAGCAAGGTTTCATATGATCATGAAGACATATCCTAACTGAATTAAGGATATTTAACCATTGGGTTTCTTATAAATTGATAGGGCAGTGGGAAGACCGGATAAGGTATCAGGTAGAGAGTGTTCAGCATGACGAATAAAAATAACAGTATATTTTATAACCTTCCCATAAATGTAGAAATCACATGCCTCCTTCCCTGTGATAATGAGCTTAGGAAATGTCTGAAGGGCCCTCTTATGATCATGTCTGGTCATCACCGTAATTTCCTGTTGATATTCTGGCAAAGACCAAGAAGTCACTTCAATATTTTAGTTTCACACTGCAATACAGTCTTGCAATAATTAGTCCTTCAATTATCAGTGATGTAATGTGTGTGAATCTATGTCTACTTCCACCGCTAACAAAAAAAATTGGTAATTGTTACTGATAGTGACTCACCCTCCAGAAACTTAACTCTCAAATGCTTGGTATCAAGTCCATACCTCTCCTTTCCTGCTTTCTGTTTATTTCCTTGACACTCGTTTATTTGCACTTTGTGCCAACTTACAGAAAATGGACAATAAGAACTCTGTCTCTCTAAGGGTGTCATGGATTTGATCACTGAGCAGTAATATGCAATGAATATTTGTCATATTTTCATCGCTATCTTATAGAGCAAAAGTAATATAAGATGACATCGCCATCTTATATTTCTTGGGTATTTGTTACAGAGACGACACACCCTCCCAGAGACTAAGTTGAAAAAAAATGATGGTTTTTCTGCAGGAAATCCAATGATTTCATCAGTTCTGGGCATTGTTTCTTGTGTGAATGAATCGTTCAGGAGATCGAGTACCATTTCTCCATCGATAAGTTTGATTTGTTAGTCCGTTAGCAGGGGAGGGGATGAAGTATATCAGGAAAATTATGAGGTAAAACAGGCTTAGATAAAAATAATAAAGTTCAAAAATGCGTAAAACTAGCACAAAAATGCTTAAAATCAACCAATGAAATTGTAGACATAACCGCCATCTTTGAAATTCTACAGACATGCACCAGAATTAAAAAACCATGGGAGCCCAACCTACCTTTCGGCAAAACTCTACAGGAATTTACATTCCAACCCCCAAAAAACGTTGACCAATAAACCAGTTTAGCAATTTAAGTTGCCGTGACTAGACCTGCCCGAGGGGAGGGTTCATGGGAGGCAACTTTCGGCATTTGGAAACTCTGATGACCCCAGATGCTAAACTGGGATCGTCACTGAAGTCTATTTTCTCTTCTGTGTCACTGTATAGTCTTAAAAATATCCCAGAATCAACACAGTACAGGAAACGCAACATTTCTTAGCAGTGTTACACCTTGAAATGAGCAGGCCAGCAGCTGTCAAGCTGGCGGATATGAAAGGAAGTGTGAATTGCCAAATTAGCCAAATATTGTTTTGATGTGCGTATAGTAGCATTGGTACTACTTAGGCCATCACAGTTATGTGTTCAGCGGTCAGTGTTGTGTTTTTCTTCGCAAGGTAAACAAGCTGATTGACTTAGAATTTGAGCAGTGGCCGCGCATTATATTTTCATCATTTAGCAGTAAATATGGGGCAGCTGCAGCTTAAACTATGTTCTATCCCACTCTATTTCTTCCATATAAGATGGTTGTGTCATTTCCCTCTATCTACATGTGTCGGTGTCTTCAGCTTAAACCATTTCTTGTTCTCTATAAGATGGTGATGTCTTTATCCCCCTGTGTGTGTGTGTTGCTGCTGGTAGCTTATGCCAGAAATTAAAAAGTATTAGTAATGTGTATTAGTAATGTTTATAAAGTAGCTTTGATCCTTTCAGATCACTATTACTCCAGCCAGTCCTGGGAAATTCACAAATATTGCCATAGTAACCTAAAAGCTTCCTCCCCAACTCCCCATCCTTTCACAGTATTTTCCTATTGGGAACTCTGCCCCCAGACCCCCATCCGATCACCATGGAGTAATTCTATCCATTACAGCAAACTTATCCTTGTATTACATGGCTGTGGGAAACTGAAAGACTACAAATACTTATTATAGACAAGTAAAGTTTGTCTCTACCTCCAGAAAACATCAACTAATGTCAGTGTCTCTAGTGCTTTAAAAAATGAAACCGAAGCATATTTTGGCAACTGAGACTGCTAGAGGTACTAATACAGTTATAGGCCATTTCCTAATTGTTGCAGTAATTAACCCTTTTTCTGTGGGTGGCACATGTGTAAAAGCCATGGCTGTTTGTGGACAAAGTATCAGGTGGCATCGCATTGCGACCATTCTTGTGCTGTCAGCTCATTGGACTGAGCTTGTTTTTCTCTGATAGTTTAGGAATCACAATTGTTGTGAAACTGATAGGCAAAATCACCTAAGGTGAAGGTAATCCTTGAAAATATTTATATTTAAATTGTGCCAACAACCTTACAATTATGTCCAATTGCCAGACTTCTTTACCCACTGATATTGGGTTGAGGGAGGGTAATTTTCATTTTAAAAGTACCATTGGTAATTCTCAGCTCTAATGATGGGTATTCAAATTTTTTTGTTAGTATATGCATGGTAGCAATGACAAAATATTGACAAAAAAATCAGATATTTAGAATTTTTTTGTAGTTGCTCAGAACTAGAATTCATGTGTTGTTGTTCTGTAACAAAAATCATTGCTGCAACATGGTAGCACAACTTAGCAAAGTAAAACAAAATCTAGTGTACTGAGGTTTGTACACAAGATTGTACTGAAAGAAAACAAGAAAAAATATCAATGGATAAAACTGTAATTGCAAAGAAGGAAAGGGATGTTGAACAGTATATTGGAAATTAGAGATAGTATCCTATATTCCATCAGTAGTAATGACAGGACAGCAAATTAGCTGAATCAGTCAACTAGACACAGTGGTAATATCATGCACCTTGCTCCCATTCTCTGAAAATATCTTGTTGGTTTGTATTTGAGTCTCGCGTACCTTCTCATCTTTGCACACTCGATGCATTTGTTGCAGCCCATTTTCATACACAATATTAATGATTTGGAACAATTTAATGGCATCTAATCATACAGCAGGCAATACCTCATCTGTCATATAATCTGTCCTGATTGCTACTGCAAGCTGGACAGTTGTCCATGTGCAGAGCAGCATCTTAACGAAAGTCAGAAAATTTTACCAATTGTTTTTGGGTAGATATATTGATGCAGAAAGTGAATGGAATATTATTCACCAGAAAATAAGCTTGTTAAATAAGTTCAGAACCTAAACAATATCATGAATAAGATTGGATCATATTGTGTTATCCCATGTGTCAAAACATACAAATCTTTATGGTAACTTCTGTATTTTGCATAGATGGAATATCTGATTAAGGTTAATACAATTTCAGATTTATCTGCTCATAAGTCAAAATGTTGAAAAGAATGCTTTTGGAGAAAAACAATATCCTGTATTGAAGGGAGTTTTTTCCATTGATTTATCAGTATTTGAGGTGCTTAAAGAGAGAGTTTTATCTTTAATTCCAGTATTTTTTTTTTTTTTTTTTTTTTTTTTATAATTTGAGGCACAGTGGAGAAAGGGGTTCAACAATTCCACAGTCAAAAAAATATAAACCATTTTCTTGACATCTGCTGATTTGTTGATCATATCTTGCAAGGAAGACGTTGCTTGAAACAGTTCATATTAGTCAAATTTATTGCTTGAAACAGTTCATATTAGTCAAATTCATTGCTTGAAACAGTCCATATTAGTCAAATTCAAGTAGTTTTCTCCTTTTTATCAAAAGGTTATTTAAAAACTATGCCTCGTATATGTATGAATGATAGTCTTTGATTTTGTTTTGTTGGTACAGTAGATAATGTGAAATATGGTTTGCAAAATAATTAATAACATTTTGGGAAGGTTCCTAGTACCACAGACATAAATAGGATTGGACATTAGGTAATGAAGATTCATTATGCAAAGAAAATTAGTTTTAATGTTCATATGACTATTCATAAATCTTTCATCATATTACAGGCTGACTCTTGATTGCAATCATGGTGGAGCAATTAAGGCCAGAGGACCTACAGAGGCTCCAGGGTTTCATCAGTGCCTGCAGACAAAATCCTTCAGTACTTCATGTGCCTCAGCTGAGCTTTTTCAAGTAAGTAGATGATAGATATCTAAAGGAAGGATGCAATTTGTTGTTGATTTAAGTTAATTTAGGCAACTTTTGAATTGGTTTTACTACACTACACCCTAACAATCACAACCACACTCTTGCCCATCCCCAGACGTACCAGCACAGAGTATACCATACGGAAGAATATATTTATGGGAGTTTCTGAAAAAAGTTTTATCTTGAACATGAAATATATTTTGCTTGATGTTGTGAAAAAACACCAATAATTTTTTTGATATTCTGTTGACTTCTGTATTTGACTTGTGGGATATCACTGTTATTAATTCTTTGCGCAGGGAATATCTTTTAAGTCTAGGTGCCAAACTGCCAGAATGTTCGCCACCGCCCAAACCTGAAGAAACGCCAATGAAGGAACCTGAACCAAAGTAGAGGAAGAAGAGAAGTAGAGAGTGATGTTGAACTGAACAATGAAGGGGTTATTGGTGAGTATATTTTATGTTAAAGATAAAGTTGTAATTGTAGGTTGATCAAGATTCAAAGTAAATGCAGGAAAATGTGTACAGATCATGATATATACCCCACAAGACATTGAGGTTAGATATGTACATGTGCTGGAGAATTCCAACTTTCAGTACTTTATTCAAATACTGACTTCATTTTTACTTTCTCACTCTTGTTGTAAGTGCTCTAACATTGTAACCTTGAGTTTCTGTTACACTGAAATAGACTACAAGACCAAAAGATCAGAAATGCTGTTATACCAAAAGACTAGACAAGAAGAAATTAAACAAATTCTCCCACAGAACCTGAAACAGAGGACCCACCTGAGCAAGGTGACTCAAATAAGGTCGTGTCAGAGGAGGACCAGGATGCGGCAAATGAAAAGCGGTCAGAGGCAATGATGGCGTTGTCTGATGGCGATTTCCAGAAAGCTGTCGATTGTTTCACAGAAGCTATCAAGCTTAATCCAGGTGTGTTTTAGATTAAGATGTGGTTGTTGGGTTTCATGACTTTGATATATATTCATTGAGCATGTTGAGATTGAATGGAGTTAGGTATTTCAGTATGATTATTTTAATGAGTCATTCTCTATAAATTGAGGGTAATTGCTTCTTTTTGAAATTAAGAAGTAAACTTTGTCTCGTATTCCATCTCTTGAAACACTTAACACATACAAGAAGAATAGAATGTATTGGAAATGAGTAAAGTATATTGTAAAAAATGATTAAAAACTTCATTTTTTTGTGTGCAGGATCTGCCATGTTGTATGCAAAGAGAGCAAATATACTATTGAAACAAAACAGAGTCAATGCTGCTATCCGAGACTGCGATGAGGCTATCAAATTGAATCCAGATTCTGCAGCTGCATACAAGTTTCGAGGTAGAGCACACAGGTAAGCGATAGTGTGTACAAACATTAGTTATATATTTTCTATTTTTTTAAAAGAAATATGTATATATACTTTATTTTATTATTTTATTATGCGGTGTGTAGGCCTGGCGTGCGTGAACACTCGTGCAGTGACAAAACTGTGCCTCCCCTTTGCAAAGTTATTTTGTGTAAACCTTTTAAGCCTTTTTGCCATATTCCAGTGTCTATATTTGTCTTTTGATTTACTTTTTCCAGATGGCAATAGGCTATTTTCCTTGCACAGGCTCCATATCTCTCTATGTAGTAAATAACTAAGTGCAAGAAAAAAAAAAGTATGGAACATTTGGTTACTTCTGTCATATCTTATTATTTTGTAATTTTCAATTTTCCGTAATACTACCTGCACCACTGATCACAGCGGCCAGGAGTACGGTGCACAGCATGGAAATGGCATCCTCCAGGGAGCTGGGACTCTTTCAGTCACGGCTTTAGCACGTTACATTCCACATTTGTCTTGCGATGGGAATAATGCCAAAACCCCCTTCTAAGTGCCAAATGAGTCAAATCACACTTTAAGAGGTTTTTACACTTGTGGTGAGTCTTTTCTATCACCCTGGCCTTTGCTCATGATGACAAGGTTGCGTCACCCTGGCCTTTGCTCATGATGACAAGGTTGCGTCACCCTGGCCTTTGCTCATGATGACAAGGTTGCGTCACCCTGGCCTTTGCTCATGATGACAAGGTTGCGTCACCCTGGCCTTTGCTCATGATGACAAGGTTGCATCACCCTGGCCTTTGCTCATGATGACAAGGTTGCATCACCCTGGCCTTTGCTCATGATGACAAAGTTGCGTCACCCTGGCCTTTGCTCATTTTAACTGATGGTGGCACGTTCACATTACTTGGCCTTTGACCCACATTTTTCCATGACAAGACTATAATGTCATCTGGATTGTAGGGGTTAACTAGCTCTAGTGAGCGAGTGGGTAAATAGGCTGTACACAGTACACGCCCAGTCAAGGAGGCTCTACTGTTGTATAATTATTATGTCACAGAAAATTCTGTCCCCATCAAGATAGTTATATAACCTCTTGACCCATTCATGAACAAAAAACAAAAATGTGCTTAATTTAACCCATTCATACCAAGATAGCAAAAGTACAAGCTATACCCCCTGTAATTTTAGTTTATTAATTAATTACATATAGATGTCTCCACAAGGGTTTAGTTACCTCAGTCAATTACCATAAGTCTGTCCAATCACAGGAAGGAAAAACTAGCTATTCACTCTGGAGGACTCTGATTAGCTGTTTTAAAAAAAGAAAAAAAATGTGTAAAGTAATTGTATATAATTACAGATGTATGGAAACAATAGAGGTGGTGCACACCTCTATGACTGTTCTGTCGTTTTGGCTGATTTCTCCTGTTGCCACATTTCAAAGTTGATGCTGCTAATTTGAACAAATATTTAGTGTTATAGAATCTATAAAGATACTTGTAGTAAAATGCTAAGAGTACATTCTGGATGGATGTTAAATATTTAAAGGGGTTTTTAAAGG